ACATTTTCAACTAGACCAGGTCGCTCACATCCCCGTCCAACGCGATCTTGAATGTTTCCAGGGATGGGGCATCTGGCACCTCTCTGGGCAGCCTATTCCTGTGTTTCACCACCCTCGTCGTAAAAAAATTCTTACATCTAGTCTCATGGCCCACGCTGCGATGTGGGACCAGCATGGCTGGCGTGTGGCGTGGCTCATGTGGACTCCTCTGCCGGGACAGGGACAGCGTGAGGGGCGGGATGCAAAGGGCTGATGCTGTTCATCCCCTCCAGTTTTGCTTTGGACTTGAAACCTTGCTGGAAGGGATCCCATCAGCCACATTTTTGACTATCAGTGTGATTTTTTTTTTTTTAGTTTTAATTTTGGGGACATTTTGGTGCTGGTGGTGATTACTGTCCACCCAGGAGCTGAGCAGTCCACATCTCCTTGAAGCTGGTAGATGTTGCTGGTATTTAGCACCTCCGAGAATCGTGCCTTTCCTATTGAGTTGTCAGCATAAATATGTTTATTTAGATTACTTAAATAAATATGTGTTTAGGAGCCTAAGTCTAGGTGCTCAGATCTGAGGCCAAAGGTAATTACGTTTTACTGTGTTCTCCAAGAAAGCCCTTTACTGCATGTGTGAGGCTTGCACATCTCCACTTCAATCCATATATTTGGAAAGATGCGGGATGATGTATTTGCATCACATGTGGGTGATGAAATACTTTCCAGCCTGTTAGTAACCAAGAGAATATTAAACAACATCTCTTAGGAGTGAACGCTTTAAAATTAACAGGTCTAGTTAACATGCACCCAAGAGTCTTAAAAGAATTGTCTTTTGCTTACTGAAATTAATTTCCAGCAACTCTCGTTGCTAGAGAAATTACAGGAGAACAGATGAATTGTTGATTTGGTGCTTCTGAAAGCACTTGATTTGGGTAAATGAAATCCAGGTAACCTGACACCAGCTGAAGGGGAAAATAGGGGACACTGATAATTAAAAGGCTGTTAAAGTTAGATGTGTGCGTGTAATATGTTTGAACACTTAATTTAACAGTGTGTAACACAATGTCCCGACGATGAGGGCAGAGCAGCAGGACCTGGGTCGTGTGATACCCCGGGCCCGTGAGCGTGTGTTCGGTGGACACACATGGGATGTTGCTGGATGGAGGACCGGTGCTTTGCAAACTGGGAGCTCTGGAGAAGGTCGCAGCCAAGCAGCACATCTCGGTGCCCGCTGCAGTGCAGTGCCCCGGCGAAACGGGTGACTGGTGAGCGTGTCCCGCATCGGCATGGTCCGACTGGGTGGTAGGTTTTGCAGGAAACAAGCCTGCCGGGGGAAGGGCTGATGGTGAGGCTGGCAAACACCTTCCAGTGAGAACTTAAAAGTGCAAACCGTTTAGCTTATCTAGAGGATTGACAAGTGACTTGATTGCAGTGTGTAAATATCTTTGTGGGAAACATACAGCTTACTAACGGACCTTTTACTGCTTTGGAGAAAATTGCTGGTTCTTTTTATGTCATTACAATGAAGTCAGATAAAATCCACTTATAACCAAGACCCGCGTTTTGTAAAGGTGATAAACTCCTGAAACAGCCTGCCGAGGAGAGGGGTGGCTTTTCAGACTGCTCAGGCTGCAGAAGTCCTCATGGGAGGTATACCTGAACAAATGTGGGGCACCGGCCTGCGGGCGGGGGAGCTGGCTTAGTCCAGGTGATTTAACAATTTCTTCTGGCTTTAAATATTCTGAAACTGTTAGTTCCAAGGTAGTAAAGAAAATTTTGTGCCTGGTTTGAGTGACACCAAGACCTTGAAGGGGGAAGTTGGGAGGTGGCTGGGCTACCAGGGGTTGAAGTCACTTGTCCCTGGTATGAAGGACCCTTTGTGACGGACAAGGGTGTTGGCATCACCCACCCGCAGGGGTGTCTCACAGATCCCAGGAGAGCATTGCTGGGTTCCTGCTTGAGAGGGATTTGTTTCCGTGCTAAGTCATCTGTGGTTGAAAAACAGATCCATTGCGAGTCGATGGAAAATAGATTATGCGAAATTGAATAAACATCGTTTCTTGGCCCGGGTACAAATGGGCCTGCGCTGCTGTGCCAAAGCTGCTGCTAGAGGGGACGAGGCGAGGCGTGCATGTCGGGGGGAGGAGAGGGTCGTGTTTGCTCTCCTCCGCAGCCTTTATCAGCCCTGGTCCCTCCCCAGCAGGGCCAGGGGTTTGCCAAACCGGGTGGCCACCGGTGTGGTCAGACACGTTGATGAGAAAGCCCAAGCGTGAGGGGCCGGGGAGGGCGTGTGGCCCCGCTCGCACATCGCCGCTGCGGCACCTGGCTTTGGAAATGTGGCCTTATATGGGGCCCTGAGCGAAACAGCAAAAAGGGGACGGGTGCCAAAACTGGAGCGATAACATCTTAAAGAAGAACGCTCCCCCTTCAGGCCCAGGGAGGAAGGCGATGGGCTTCCCTGCCCTCAGCTTTGTTGGTTTGGTGTTTTGTGGTTTGTTTTTTTTTTAATTCAGACCTTATAAAGTCATGTGCGACCCTGGGGTGATGCAGCAGGGAGGGATGGAGTGTCATGGAGTGTGGGGGGACCGTTTTGCGGCAGCCTGCTGTGTCCGTAGGCTGCCACAGCTCTCGCCTGCATCTCCTGATCCAAGCAAACAAAGCTCGTTCTTAAAGAGCAATAGGCTGTGGCTTTATTCTTATTAAAAAGTTGCATCCACATAGCAGCTGAAGGGCTACAGCAGCCAGAATGCTGCAGCCTGGACCCTGCTGGGGTGTCTCTGGACAGGCCACTTCGCACAGTGCCTCCCGGTGCCTTACTGAGCTGTCGGGTGAAGTGGGGTGTGCGGGTCCTGCGTGTCCAGGGATGTGTCCTCCAGCTCCTCCCCGGGCTGTGCTGGCAAGTCTGTCTGCAGTGACAGTGCATTAGGCCACATGCAACCTCGAGGCATCCTCAAGCTGTACATTAGCATAACTACTAGGAGAGCAGTGATTTTAATTGCCTGATGCCACAGCTGTTTGGGATAACCGGCAGTGGTGGCACTGGTCACAATTTCTGCGTGTATTTTTTTTTGACTCCCGGCCTCCCCCCAGGAGGGTCCTGGGGGATCTGCAAAGCTATGCTTGCAGTCTCTTGTCAGAGGGAGTGAGGTGCAATTTCCTTATTTTCCACCCTGATCAACCCACAACTGCACCACGAGCATCTTGCCCCAAAACGCCACTGCTTGCATTCCTCATGCCAGCAGACTCGCTTTGGTGGAAAATCACATTCTTGGGGCGGGAAAGAAAGGGATATGAAATAATAAATATTTTTAAATTTGACCTGTACATGCAGGAGGCTTAGCAGAAATATGAGCCCATGTCCCAGGTTAAAAGCTTCTTATCAAGTTACCTCTGGTCAGTGATGAGTTAAAGACTTTCCACAGTCTTCTTGCAGGTTTAAATGGGATGCTGCCAAGATGAAACAGCTCCTGGGTTCTCAGTGTTGTTGCTAGCATCTGAGTTTATTAAACATGAATTTTAAAACTGTGAGGAACCTGTCACCATTTCCTATTTGCACTTCACTCTTCTTGGAAAGGGAGAGGACGCAAGCTTGTTTCTTAAAGCTGGACTGCTTAGTGTTTTATAGCCTCAGTCTCCCTTTCTGATTTTCCAGCACCAACTATGTTTAGGTTTCCAGCACTGCAGTGTTTAAAACTAAAACATACTGTTTTCCCTGAAACAATACTGGGTTTTGTAACTTTCTTTTTAAACAAATCTGAAAGGGTTTTGGCACAGATGCCTTACCAGCCTACTTCTAAACAAACCCTGAGACAGCAGTATACGTGTATGCCTGCAAGAGGCACCACGAAAGCATCTGGAAATGGTGGGGCTTTTCTTCTCATCCTTCTGCTGCCTTTTGTGCCTGAGCCCATCCTGTCTCCAAGCCCTCTGAGGGACTCGATTAAGAGGAGAGGAAGGAAAACGCCATGAATTTTAAGCGGTGTGAGCCTGGGTTCACCCAGCAAGGCTCCAAACTGGCACAGCAGAGCAGTGTCCGTGCGATGTTCAGCGATGGCCATGTGCTTTTTGCACAGCTGCTTTCAAGTCTGCTCCAGGGAAGCCACGCTGCCCCAGGGAGCAGACGCTGGGGGGGGGAAAAAACAGGATCTGAATTTTCTTTGCCTTCTTCTGCCTTGCCAGCAAGCACCGAGGCTCCGGCTGAGCGCGGCAAAGGTCCTGCTGCCTTTGGCTTCGCCTCTGCGTGGGCAATGCGAGGCGGGGGCTCCGCTGGCATCCCCGCACCCTGCTGCGCCGGTTTTTCTCCTCCACCTCTTGTTCTCTCTCAGCGGGCCGTGGTGGGGAACTGGCTCCTGGGGCTGGGCTGAGCCACACAGCAGTTAAGAAAGAGGTTTTTTTGGCTCCTGCTTTTTTTCTGGAGGCACAGGGATACTGTCAGGCACTGTTCCCAGCGCCGCTGCAGCCATGAGGATGGTGGGGTGGCCGCGGGCTCTGGTGCAGGGTTGGTCACGGCACAGATCCTGCTCTAAGCTCGGCACGGTGACGTGGGGCTGGGGCACAGCAGTCATGCCGGGGCTGGGTTTCCCCGTGCCTGTAAAGGAGGAAATGGAAGGCAGACAAATTTTTTGCCCTCATGGAGCTCAGTCTGGACGCAACGCACAATAATTCATGCAGCACAGAGCTTTGAACGTCAAACCCGAAAAGGACATTAAAAACCCCATTGCATCTCCCCCCACATTAATGATCCCGCCAAATCCCCGCTAATGAATACATCCCATTCTTCCCCACCCTGTTTTTTCCCTCCAGGAGCATTCATCTAAAAGTTGAATGTTGTTTCTCTTCTTGGCTTAAATTGAGGCAGATCCTGTTGGTTTCTTTGGCTTTGATGCATGAGAGTTGGGTCATGTGAGAGTGTCACGTCTGGTGAGAGAGGTCTTGTCATGTGGTAGAGCCAATGTCATGAGTTTGGGCTGTGGGAGGAGGACACCAGCCTCTTGCTGGGGGTAGAGTTGTCCGTCCCAGTCGCAGGCATGCAAGCACTGACCACCTTGTCTTCTTCCCCTCCTGCAGTGACATCTCCATGCAAGATCCTCAAGTGCAACTCTGAGTTCTGGGCAGCCACATCGGGCTCCCACCACCTGGGCACGGAAGAAGCGCCCGAATTCTGCACGGCGCTGCGCGCCTACGCGCACTGCACCCGCCGCACCGCCCGCACTTGCAGGGGCGACCTGGCCTACCACTCCGCCGCGCATGGCATAGACGATCTCATGGCGCAACACAACTGCTCCAAGGATGGCCCCACGTCCCAGCCCCGCCTCCGGACATTGCCCCCCGGGGACAGCCAGGAGCGCTCCGATAGCCCCGAAATCTGCCACTATGAGAAGAGTTTTCACAAACACTCAGCCGCCCCCAACTATACCCACTGCGGGCTCTTCGGGGACCCGCACCTCAGGACTTTCACAGACACTTTCCAAACCTGCAAGGTGCAAGGGGCTTGGCCGCTGATAGACAATAACTACCTGAACGTCCAGGTCACCAACACGCCAGTGTTGCCTGGCTCCACGGCCACCGCCACCAGCAAGGTGAGCCTCGGGCACGTCCCCATGAGCAGAGGTGGGCAAGGGCAAAGGTGCTTCTGAACAGCCTTTCTTTCCACCATCTCTCCATACCATTTGCCCATCTCCTTGGGGAGGTTAATACCGGGTGGGCACTCCTCTGGATTTTGAGTGTTTGGCCCTAAATATCAGATGCCCATCCTTTCTTTGACCCCTTCTTCACTTAAATGGCCTGTGGTTTCCTCCTGAGCACGTCCAGCCCCATCATGATGAGCAGGCTGAGATGCTGCATCCCCCACCACGGCCAAAGTGGGGGATTTTAAATTAAGAGGGCTCCCCCCTGGGGGACTCCAGGTTGCTGTGAACAAGCAGACCAGGAATGATTGTAGCACCTTCTGGGGGACACCCAAGGGCCAAGCAAACCCAGGACTGCCTTCCAGGGAGGCTCCAGCTTGCAGGGAAAAAGCCCAGAGGGAGCTGAGCTCCTTACACTACCTTCCCCTCTGCCCAGGCTTGTAATTGTCTCTGTGGTTTGCAGCCAAGTCAAGGCATTTTGTGGAGCATAGTCTGTTCTGGAGGTGCTTTGACAGCCTAAATAAACACCCTGGAGGTACAAGGCAAACACTGAGAAAACCCAAGCGAAAATGTTGCCGTGATACAGCAGGACTTGTGTGGCATGACCTCAGCTTCAGGAGAGACCTGTAGCTGATGAACTGTTATGTTGCTTCATGGTGTGCAAGCTCTAAAAGTAACAGGCTATTTTTTGTGCCAGAAAAAAAGGGAGGCTTAGCAGGAGGCATCCTCTTACTTTTGGAAAATGTCCTGCCATGTCTGGGAGTTCTGCTTCTCCCTGCTTGTGGGAAGATACACATGTAGGACAGGGATTGTGTCTGAGATCTGAATGTCCCCCTTTTTAGCCTGAGCTGGAGCTGGCATTTTGGTTTTAACCTGTCCCTAATAAACCACCTTAAAGACACTTACCTATCAAAAGGCATCAGAACCTGCTGAAGCTTGCAAGGAAGTCTGGCTTGAGGAAGGTGGTCCTTAAGAACCCCAGGGACCTGCAATTTCTAGTCTGGATCCCAGGATCACCATCTTAATTGAGCTTTTTCACCCGTTATCTGCCTTACGGGCTTGTGGTGAGGAGGGATTAGTCATGAGATCTGCAGCATGAACTGTGGAAAGCATTACTGGGTTACTGCTCGAGGACCATGTGCTCTTGGAAAGGATGGGAGCCTCTGGGTCCATGGGGCTCTTTGTGTTTTTGCATGATGTTCTGTGGTCTGCCCAGAGGCAGGGCTGGACCCAGAGGAGGTAGCAGGAGGTCCACACGAGGTCTAGTACAGCCTGAAACCGAGGCGATAGCAAGAGCTGTCGCAGGGCTGGGAGCATCTGGACAATCGGCGGCGGAGTGGGTGGGAGGGAGGGACCTTGCCAGGGCTCTGGACAGCTCTGTGCTCCTCACCAGCACCACTGTGCTCAGCCCAGTCCCTACAGAGCCTCAGTTTTTCCCTTCATACTCAGCCCTCAGGCATACCCGCCCTGTAGCTGCTGGAGCTGTTTCTCCTCCAGCCCTGCCCCACTCTGGCCATGTCTCAGTCTGCCCCTTCATGGTGGCCACGTGGCCAGAGGTCCCCCTGCTCCTCCCTCATGGAAAGAGGTGCAAGAAGAAGAGCAAGTCTGCAGGAGGTGAAAGAGGAAGCGTAGTTTGCATGGGGAGAAACACCAGTTGCTCTCCCTCCCATCCAAACTCTTCCTCCCCCTCCTCCTCCTCAAGCCTTCCCCCCAGAGCCAGGTCAGCAAGGGAGGAGCAAGTGCTGAGGTCCTTCCTCCAGCGAGGGACCCATGTTTGAGCCCAGCCAAGGCTGGGGAGCCGTGTTGGGCTCAGTCTACGCCCATATCACCCCTAGAAGGGCCTGCCCACCCAAACATGCTAAACACGGTGTGTCTGCATGGTTGAGGTGGAGCACGATGTGTTCTGGAGCCCAAGAAGACTTGGTCCGTGAGTGGCCAGGAAAGGGAAGAGGCCCAGCCTTTGGGATGTAAATGTCATGGGAGCCAGAGGAGAGGCTCCACCACCTCTGAGAAAGCCAGGGCTCATACCCCTCTGCCATCTGCCAGGCCCTGGAGGCAAGACAGTGCTGCGTGCACAGGCATGTCGCCACAGGCCTGTGAGTAGTGATACTCCACCCAGCTCCAGCTACAAGGGAGCTCCTGTGTTGGGCCTGGAGATAACAGCGCAGGTCCAGGTGGTATGTTCAGTCCAGCCTCTGGGTCTTGAGTCCATACATGGTGTCCTCACCCCCGTGCTGAAGCAGGATGACCATGTCTGGGTGCCTACAAGTTGGGCAATTCCTTAGGATGAAGCTCCTGGCCGAGCTGAGCAGACAGGTCCCCCAGCTCTCCTGGTGGCGGCCATGTGCTCTCAGGTGGTCGTGGCTGGTTGTAAACCTGTTTCTCTTTCCTCCCCATAGCTCACCATCATCTTCAAGAGCTTCCAGGAGTGTGTGGACCAGAAAGTGTACCAGGCAGAGATGGACGAGCTCCCTGCTGCCTTTGCTGATGGCTCCAAGAACGGTGGGGACAAACACGGAGCCAACAGCCTGAAGATCACCGAGAAGGTGTCGGGCCAGCACATCGAGATCCAGGCGAAGTACATTGGCACCACCATCGTGGTGAGGCAGGTGGGCCGGTACCTCACCTTCGCCGTGCGCATGCCGGAGGAGGTGGTCAATGCCGTGGAGGACCGGGACAGTCAGGGCCTCTACCTGTGCCTCCGCGGTTGTCCGCTCAACCAACAGATTGACTTCCAGACCATCCGCTCGGCTCAGGCCACAGAGGGTCGTGCTCGTAGGAAGGGACCCAGCCTGCCAGCCTCCCCCGAGGCCTTCACGTACGAAACGGCCACGGCCAAATGCAGGGAAAAGCTGCCCGTGGAGGACCTCTACTTTCAGTCCTGCGTCTTCGACCTCCTCACCACAGGGGACGTCAACTTCATGCTGGCTGCTTACTATGCCTTTGAGGACGTGAAGATGCTTCACTCCAACAAAGACAAGCTGCACCTCTATGAACGGACACGGGACCTGGCCCCGGGCAACATGGCTCCCTCAGGGACCCCCCCTGCCCTCTGGGTAGCACTGCTGTGTTTGAGTCAGAGTTGGTTGTGTTTGTTATAGAGGCTTGCTCCTTCACATCATGGAGAGTGGGGAATGGGGAGCAGGAGGGAACCAGGGAGGAGATGGCAGTGCTGGACAATGGGAGGTTGGATGTCAGAGCTGCGTGGCTTGTCCTCAAACATCAGCCCCTCTCTTTTCGCACCAGGTCCTCCACCTTCCCAGTTCTTGCCTGGGAGGAACGTGCTGCCAGTGGGACCAGTCAGGAGTTTTTGCTGGACTGTACCTTGTCTGGACCTTCCTCACCTCCTGCTCTCCTCCTCCTCCTCCCAGTAGTGTGGGTCCTGAGGAGACCCCACCTCCTTGTAGCGCTTCCCCCAGGTCCCCAAAAATGCACATGGTGAGTGTGACATTGGTGTGCATGAACGTGGCTTTGTCCTTGGAGAGCAGAAGGGCACCGACCAGTGAGACAGGGCCGAGCCTGGCCAGCACAACAGGGCTGGGCTCTCTGCTCAGCAGGGCCGTGCTCTGCTTTTTGGGCATGTCCCACTCTTCCCACAGTCCCGTTGTTGCAGGAAGTGGTGCAAGGGGCCAAAGTGGGGAATGGTCCCACGCTTGCCTGGCCACTGGTGCCAGGCGTCTTCTGGGTGGAAGGAGGACACGTTCCTCAAGCCTCGGCTTGCACTTGCTGTGGTTCAAAGGGCATCTTCTATTTTAGCCAGTTCATTCGGCTGATTCACTCAGTAGTTTTATTTCTGGCTCCCTTGTCTCTGCCCGGACCCACTGAGGACTCTTGAAGGCAACGGGAGAAACATGGCCAGTATTCAAGCGGTTTCTGCAACTTCTGCCCAGCGTTGGATGAGTTCCTTGCACCATTTGCTCTCCAGTCCCCTAAAACTGGCAGCGGGGAGGCTGCTCGATGGGAGACCTGATCTGCACCTCCCTCCAGCCCTGCACCCACTCGTCTGCCCGTGGCTCGGCCGGGCCCTGGGATGGAGCAGGAGCGTCGCGCTCTGTTTGTTTGCTGCTAGGTCTCTGCTCCGCTCCTCATCCTGGGGCCGCGACTTGCAACCCCATTGCAGACCAGTTGCACCTTAAGCCCTTCTGGGCTTGAATCGGAAATGGGGCAATGTTACAAATCCAGCCAGGAGATGGGATGCAGCAGAGGACCCCCCCCAACTGCCTCCAAATGTCTGTTCCCTGCCTCGAAACCATCAGTAGTCTTCCCCCACCACATAGTGCTGCCCATCTCCTTCTCTCCATGTTCCTCTGTGGTTCACCTCATCGCTTACCGAACAAACAGCAAGACCATCTTTGGTCTGCATCTTAGAGACCTCCTGATGGGCTTCCCCTCCTTTCCTCAGGGGGAGGTTCCCAGAAAGAAGCCCCAAAACATGTCACTCCTGGGGGCACCTCCTTCTCTCAAAGGAGGTCTCTGGGCATGATGAGACAAGCTAGCACCAAAAGAGGTGGGAACAGGCTGTGTTTGGCAATCTGAACTGGTGCCAAGAGGCAGCCTGGTGTAAATACTCAACGTGACTATTCATTGTGTCCTAACAGCTCTAGAGCTCCATTTGTAAAGCAGCAGAGAAATGCAAAATTGTGTTAATGGATGTAATTTATATTGTCTCTTTAATATATAGAGCCCTGGCATTGATCTCGTGTGACTGTACAGATGAAGAGATGTAATTGGTTTTTAAATGTTTAAGGAAAGAAAAGAAACAAAAAGATGTGTTTACTACTTTGCTCCTTGCTTTGTTTGCTGGTGCCCCAGGTATTCTGTTTAGGGAGGGTTTGAAATAAGGGTATCACAGTTTGGAGGCACCAAGGAGAGCAACCACTGGACTGTGGCACAGGACAGTTTAGTTTCCCAATGCACTAATTGCTCAGCCAAGCTGATTTGGACTTTTTCTTTCCTTTGTTCAAGAAAGAACCAAGTTTTTGTCTTCCCTAGAAAATCAAAGCGCAAGTTTTGAAAACTAATATTTGTCACTGGTTAAGAGGGAACATTTATTTTTTGCTGTGTTGTTTAGTCTGGAGAAGAGGAGGCTGAGGGGAGACCTCATCACCCTCTACAGCTACCCGAAAGGAGGTTGCAGGGAGCTGGGGATGAGTCTCTTTAACCAAGTAACAATTAGCGATAGGACAAGAGGGAATGGCGTCAAGTTGTGCCAGGGAAGGTTTAGACTGGATTTTAGGAAGCATTTCTTTACAGAACAGGTTGTTGGGTGTTGGAATGGGCTGCCCAGGGCAGTGGTGGAGTCCCCAACCCTGGAGGGGTTTTAAGAGTCAGATTGACATAGTGCTGAGGGATGTGCTGCAGTTGGGAACTGTCACTGTTAAGTTAATGGTTGGAGTGGGGTGATCTTCAAGGTCTTTTCCAACCTTAATGCTTCTGTGATTCTGTGTTATCCCATAGATAGCAGCTGTGCAAAGCATTCCTCTGAAGACAAGGTGCTTCTTAAAACCAGTCTAAGCTGTCCCAGCTGCAGTGTGACAACAAGTCAATACTTCCCTTAAGACCTCCCTGCCCTACCAAGTGATTGCCCTACGGCATAATGGGATGTGGTTTAGGGGCAGTTTCCAGCTAGGAAAAGTCTGTCTGCTGATGGCGTGGCTCAGTCCCGCTGTCCAGGTGAGCGCTCCAGTGGTGGCCAGCTGTCGTTCGGTGGTTGGGGTATCCCTATTTTAGAAGCAAACAGTGAAGCACTTTATTTTGGTTTGTGTTTGACCCAGTTCTGGTTAAAGGTGAAGTGTGGCCAAGAAAGACCCAATACTTGGAAACAACAAAAAAATACTTAGGCAAAGGGGGGGCATTATGAGAAGGCCTCCCCACCTCCTCCCTGTGTTGAGACCCACGGGAGTGTCACCGCATGTATATACTGTAAATTATTTATTGAGAGAAACGCAAGTAAAGTTTGAGGTTTTTTTGACAATAAATGAGTGGGTCTTGTTTTGTTCCTGGTGTGTCGGAGGGTGCTGTTTGCCACGCCGGATACAAATGCTGCTCCTTTTCTGCATCCGCTCTAAAGCAGCTTTCTTCCACCTGTAACCCAAGGACCCCTTGAGAGCCCATTTCTGCCCTAAATTCTCCTGAGAATTTTACTCTGGAGTTGAATTTATCTACAGAAATAATGAGAAAAATAAAAAGGGTGTGTGTGTGGGGGAAATACAGTTAATAAACTCAGAGCTGAGCTTCACTGGGAATGGAGATGTGCAGCAGTGGAGTTCCAGTGGGTACCATCGCCCTTCCCCTGCTCACCCCAGTAGCTGGGATATGTCCCTCCTAATTCCTGCTTTTGATCATCTCCCCTGTCTTGGACATCGCTCTTGTCCGCAGCTGGGTCTGTTACTGCCCTCTAATGAGGGAAACCAAAACTGCAATCTTTTTGTTAATTTTCCTTTGAAAAGCTGCAGGACTCCTTTGTGCCAGCAGCTGGGCCAGGGAGACACTGTAGCCGAGTAGGACACCGGCATCAGTGGAAAACACATTATTTGTGTTTGTAAATCCGTGCAAAGACACCCAGCATGAGAGACTTGAGATCAGACCTCCCCCTCCTTCAGAGTCTTGAAGAACCAACAGCTTTTGGAAAGAGCCAAACCGGCTCCCTCTGGCAGCACTTTCATCAGCTCACAAGAGCTCAGCTTTAGCCAAATCTACAAAGTCACATAAAAACTGCCCAGAGCACGGGGAGCTGGGGGTCTCCCTCGCTCACTGCACTGCCAAAACATCGCCAAAGGGCCTCTGCTCTCCAGCCTTGGGCAGCCAGTGAGCAGCAAGAGCACACCTGCATCTCCTGGTGGGGCGAAGTGCTGGGTGTAAGGGGACGGTGACCCCTCAGTGAGCAGGATGCTCCTGTCCTCGTTAATCACAGGCCGTGCAGGGACACCAGGACACGGGCAGTGGTGGCAGCAATGACCATATGGCATCCGAGAGGTTCAGACTGCTCTCCAGGTCGTGCTCCACGGGAGGCGAGGGGGCTCCCCAGCCTCTGTGGGCAGCTCCCGGGGGCTCCCAGGTCCCGTCCCATCCCACCCCTCCGTCTGAAGCGCATCCTCCTGTGGTGGGTGGCTGCTCAAGTGCCGCAGCCTGGTGTCTCGGCTATGGTTTCAAGCTCGGTTTTGGCTGTGCCTGCCCATAGCCTGGCCTCAGGCCAGCGCCTCGGCTGCTCTGAGCTTTGCCTCCGGCTGCTCGGGGTGAGCGGGGACACCGCGGTCACCGGGCTGCTCTTCACAGCCGGCTGTCTGGGAAGAACAACTCCAGAACTGCTCACCAAAAAGGGCTTTTTGCTGGGAACTGGCTGCCCTCTAGAGGGTCCTCTCTGGCACGGCCTAGAGCAAAAAGCGGGGTCTCTCGGCCTCCGGTCCCCTCGCTGGGGAGGTGCGAGGCAGGGCTGGGGGTCCTGCTCCCTGCGGCTGCACAACGGCTTTGCTGACACCTTGGTCCCCTCACGGATACACGCCAGCAGCAGCGGCCAGCCCGCGCAGGGTGGACACAGCCCAGCGCCCCGGGATGGCCACAGCGCCGCACGGACCCTGTCCCGATGGAGGAGACGCTCCTGGGGGACCAACTGGACCTGCCCGGCAGGGAGATTCGGGAAGCTGCATCAGGGTCATCTCCCCATCAGTTTTGATGAGGCCTCAGGATTTTAACTGTTTGCAGCGTGGTGCTGCTGATTGGGTTGGCGGGGGGATGCCGGGGAGCCGATGCCATGCCCCCTGGCATTAGGGTGACCATATCCTTACCTGCCCCACTGCTCTGGTTCCTCAGGCTGCTGCTTCTCCAGCTTCCCTATGGGTACCCTTGGGTAAGAGATGAACGAGCCAGCGCTGAATTAAAAAATGTCACCTGCTTCACACCCCTGTGCTCTGGGCAGGGACACCCGGACCAGCTCTCCATAGTCCCTGCACCTCCCTCCAGCCGATCCCCCTCCCCTGCCGCAGCCCCACGGCAAACAGCCTGTCACTCTTTCCATTAGGAAATCCATTTTTCAGGGGCATGTAGCTCAGCTGTGAAATTTCACTCTTGGCTGAAACTTGGCTCAGCAGCAGAGAGGTTGGGAAAGGCTGGACCCAGCAGCTACAGGTGTGAAAAGCCCTTTTTACAATGAGCTCTTGTAACTTGGGAGAAATGGCTTCAACCCCTGAAGCGTGTCTTGCCGTGTGGGCCTCAATGTGAACGGGTGGAGAGCAAAAACCAAACCAAAACAGCCTGCTGGATGCCATCACGTCCCACCTGGGGAGAGGGGAGAGGCACGTCCTGCCCGGGACGGGCTGCGGACAGAGAACTCCACTGATGCAGCAGGAGCAGCACTTCTGGAGAAAGGAGAATTCTCTCTAGAAAGGGTCAAAAAGAAGTTTACACACCCATAGAGATCCAGAAAAGACAGAGGGTAGATAAACACACAAACATTGGTACGATCCCAGTGAAATCCTGGTGGAAACGGGGGAGGAAATGCACAGCTTCTGATGGGGTGGAAATTCCCATCCAAAGGGGTTTCCAAGTCTCTATCACCGCAGACTTTGAAACTATGTAAAACAGCCAAGAACATGCTTATTCCTGCATGGTGAAAATACCCATCACGGCATGCCCGTGGCTGGCAGGAAAGGGCCCTGGGGTCCCGTAACAGCCCTGGTTTTAGGTGCTCATGCTGCACTTCCACCAGAGCTGCCACCGTACCAACCCCCCAGACACACCACACTGGCGCGGTTCTGAAAATCTCAGTAACACTTTTTAATATACAAGAATCAAAAGTACAGCAGTTTTACAATGTAGGAAAATTTAATACTTACTATATAAACAACATATTTACATCAGAAATCACTAGGACAGTGGCATTTTTTTTCACAAATATAAATTAATATTAATTACTGTTTTTTAGTCAACAGGTTTAAAAGTCCACATTTTTACAGTAAAAGTCCTTCTCTCCCCGGAGGGGAGGCGGAGGTCAGGAGGAAACAGGTGAAAGTGGAATAGTATTTTTGTGTGGATCACTTAAAACTGTTCACCTAAGAGCGCTGTTAAGTATCCATTTTGGTTGGGCACCACACTGCCTGTCCCAGCAGGTGGTTTTGGTCTGCAGGACTTCCATCGCGCAAATTCACAACTTTACACCATTTCCAAAGGGGTCAGGCTGAAAAATTCTTTTTTAAAAAATAAAATCCCAGCAAGATGCTACTTCTTCCTGCGAAGAGGCTCAAGGGAATCCTGCAGCTGGTTCGGAAGGAAGAGCTGTACCAGGTGTTGACACAAACACCGCAGTGGAGTTTATGGCTGTGGACCTGTCCCCTATCCCACTCACATCCAAGTGACTGACTGCTTACAGTCCCTCTGTGGAGGGGACACAAAAATGCATGTCTGTGTGTGCTCAGGAAGGACGTTCTCCCAAATAGAGGTCTCCAGGTTCATTAAAGACAAAGCAAAGACCCACCCACCATGAGTGAACAAAACTGTAACTTCAGCATCAGCTAACACAACAGCAGGGACAGCTCTTCAGTGGATACCGGTGAAGCTTTTGGTGTTGCACAAGAAAGAAACCCCAAACCCCGACCAACCTCATACCTGGAACCCAGGACGAGCAGAAACCCCCCTACCTGGACACAGAAAATGCCTCCTGCTGGGGTGCAAAGTTTTCCTGCGCCAACTGTAACACTGGTCTGGCCAGTATTGCCTTTTGCTACAAGTGTATGGCACAAACTTTCCAACATGATAGCACCGCTTGGCGAACAAAAAGAACAATTCTCTTTGCCCCTCCGAGGTTTCTTCCATTTTCACATTAAAAGCTAATACCTCTGAAAAGAAAGGACCTCTTTGTTGAATACCACAGCAAGCACACCTGCAGTCACAGCTTAGTGAGAAATGCTGTGGAAATATGCTATCTCAACACCTCCCATCACCCGGCAGCTCCATGGGAGACTGGAAGACATGCTTTCACGTCCTCCTGCACAGGTAAACACAAGTGTAACACTTTCTCAGGGCAATACAGTACCCCTAAGGCAGAAAAACTGCCCTGCATTTGGTGGAAAACTTGCAAAATAAAAGCAAAAGGGGAGGAAAGCACTTCCCGTGTACCCCATTAAAGCAGCG